AAGAGACTATATTTTTGGCAAAGGTGATTATCAATAAGAATATTGACAATTATCCCATACATCTCTTTGTCTTATATAAAAAGTTAGTTTCCTTCTTGCTAATTTTGTCATGGTTGTTCAATTATCTTTTCAGGTTTTGGTGAATCATTTTATGAAATGTAAGATAGAGAGCAATAATTTTTAAGAGTGAGCAACGCAAAATAGCTGGAGAAATTATTAATTGTTAATAGTTATCATTAATAGTCATATCAGAACAATTATTATGCACTTTTCAGATAAAGACGACTCAGAATCAACCACACATTTTGGTAATATAAGAACGACTCTATTTTTTCCTAAGACAAACTTGGCAGGAACATACATTAAGTTGTAAGATGTAAAGAATTACTTCAATAAAGATACATGTACTTACATTTTTTTTAAAGATAAAATCGGAGCATTGTTTAGATAATTCTGAACAAGAAATTTTTTTCGAGACATAGAATTGTAAAAAATTAACGCTAAAATTTATATGAAAAATAATATGTATAATTTTAGATATAATCATTTAGCCATTGTTAGATTAACCAAACATCCCTAACCATGTGCTAATGTAATTCTATTTAATCTATCTATCTATCTATCTATACATAATATTATGACAAGTCAAATTTAAATTTTTGCCACATAAGCACTTGGAGAGATCTCAAGTTGCCAAGGTGGACAATTTTTTTACAAAAAAATAGTTATTGACCTATTAATTGAGTTGTCCCTCTCTCTTCATTTAATATTTAATTCTCTTCTATCCAATAATTATTTTGCTTTTGTTTTTGCATTATATCTATAAATAATATATGGAGAGAAAGGTTTACAAACCGGTTTAGCAAGTGGAATGGTTTTACCAGTGGTACAACCGGTTTGTATCGTTTCATGCCGGTTAATAAAATAAGTAGAAATATAAAAAATTATTAATATCAAATAAATTTAATCATATATAAACCATATTTAAAGACAATTTACGTACAATTCATATTGATATTTGAAAAAATAGTTATTGACCTATTTATGGAGTTGTCCCTCTCTCTTCATTTAATATTTAATACTCTTTTATCCAATAATTATTTTGCTTTTGTTTTTGCATTATATCTATAAATAATATATGGAGAGAAAGCTTATCAAATCGGTTTAGCAAGTGGAATGGTTTTACCAGCGGTACAACCGGTTTGTATCAATTCATACTAGTTAATATAATATGTAGAAATATAAAAAATTATTAATATCAAATGAATTTAATCATATATAAACCATATTTGAAGACAATTTACGTACAATTCATATTGATATTTGAATAAAATATGATATTTCAAATAAAATTACATGTACTCATACTTAAATTCACTAAAACTACGTAATTTACTTAGAAATTCGTAAAACGATCATACTGGTCATACCGATGGTGTCATGTCGATTTCATGACTGGTACCAGTTGAATGGTTCAACCGGTGGCATGCCGGCCGACGTGACAATCATGATGGAGAGTGACATATATCATATTTTGGTTTTGCATTATATCGATGTACGCAACAATATACTAATATTCGTAGAGTGATTAAAGATTACTATGTAAATTTCTGCTCATTTTTACTAATACTTAATAATAATTTATATTTTAATGAATAATTTAAACAAATACACAAAAATAATAATATTTTGTTGATAAGGTCTGAAAGAAACTTGACCAAGAAATAATAGTTATTTATAAAAAAAACTTCTTATTCATTCTGATCAAGTGAAAATATATGAATCGCATGTGCAGTATTTATAATGTATCCTAAGTTCACATTACTAATATTTTCTCTAGGTCATGTTGATTGAGCAAGCTCTATTGAGGTCTTACATCATATGATAAGAAATTTTCTTTTCAGACTTGGAGTTATTTATTGTTAAAGATTATAAATTGAAGTTTCCAAAATGACTTGAGTATAATAGTTGATGAACTTTGCCTTCATATTCTAGGATGAGACACGACGTCACTTGAAAAATGAAATGAGTGAAATTTAGAGAAATCTTTGTTAAGGATGTACGTTAAACATCACATTTCATGCTAAGAAAAATCTAAATTCGAAGATTGAGGTAATAAATAAATATTTATGTTTTACATCACATATATAACAAAAAACATTTATAGTTACAATAGTATAAACCGAGCTATTGGGTCAAAAGAATAATATTTAATAAATATGAGTTTAGTAAGAAAATTGTAACAAGTCTATATAGTTGTGAGTCTGTGATTTCATACCAAATTTTGGCAATAATAGAAAAATTGATATCATATTCCACCCAAGAAGCTAAGTTCAAAGGTATTAATTAGTGTTGAAAGTAAAATAAACTCTCTGTATATATATGTTTAGATATTAACAATAGATGTGTCTACAATACATCCAATCATTTAAATAAAAAAGCCACAATGTTTGTATGAACTTTTAAATTTTGCTACAAAATATTTTGTTAAAAATTATAAGTTAATTATTCAAGGAATACATAATTTTGAATGCATCTGAAATATTTGTCGGGCGTATACACACTTTACCAATTATTAATATCAGCAATGGAATTTTGTTTTAGAACAAACACCAAATATAAAAAAAAAATAATTAGCGAATGGACATTCAAATAGTTTAAAAGTTATACATTGAAGGAACATGTTAAGATGAGAACCTTCGATAGTGTATATGAATCTTTGGATTCAGATTCTAAACGAACATTTAGACAAAAAACATGGGTTGAGAGTTAGTACAAACTTAAAATATTAGCAATTGTAATAAGTTGCTATACAAAGACTTCATGAACATCAACAATAAAAATGAGTGACGTTTAGAGAATTTAATCATTTTAAGGGATACGATGTGTGTCAAATTTCAATTGGGACAAACATAATTTATCCAGTAATCAAATATCTTTTTCCAATAATTTTAACTCTGATTAATTGGGTGAGAGTTCGTACAAACTCGAGAATCATGAATTGATATATGTTGTATAAGATAATAAATTTGAGCGTCTTAGTGGAAATTTTTTTATATACGATCCTAAATGGGACATGATAAACCTTTACAACATGATTTGTGATCAGAGAATAAAAACATCACAAGCGAGTGTGCTAACTATTAAATATTATTCGATATAGGCATACTACATATTCACTTATGAAGCGAGAGCAGAAAATATATACAAGATCCAAAAAGTTCAAAACATGTAAATAAGGTAACTAATATAAATAATAAAATGAACTTCTCCGGCCAACTGGCCGGGTAGAAAACTAGTAGTCGATTAATGTGAAAGTGTTGGCTTACAGCCAAATATTAGCCATGATTTGATTAACCACACATCCCTAACCATATGGTATTGTGATTCTATTTCATAGTCAATTAGTGTGGAAGTGTTGGCTTACATCCAAATAGCAAGGAATTCATGATAATTTAATTAATCACCCTGGCCATTCCTAACCATGTGCACAATAGAATAGACAACTTGGTTTTTGTCTTTATTTAATTTAGCTTTTGTTTTCAATTACTTCTCTTACAAAATTAGCTTGGTTAATTGGGTGACATTCGAATTTGGCTTTGTCTTCAGGAACACAAAAGAAGTCGGGCTCATGAATTAAAAAAAGTTCATCCCGTGAATTTAAAGAAAGCTAAGTGAAAGGACGGAGGAGTCCTTCCATACTATGTGCAGAACAAGAAAAAAAAAAAAAAAAGAACAGAACGAGTATGGGAGGAGAACCTCCATATATGATTGGGAGGATGTCTAATCTAATTAATTAGATTCAAAGCCTAATCATACATTAGCTCGGTGTTTTATTCTTGATGTGAACTCACTCGTTGTGCATTATTCAACAAAATCTTGTTGACTCCTTCAAAAATCTTATTAGAGTTGTCAAATATCATTCTAAATGCTAACACTCTTATGCTTCCTCAATCTTTTTGTTAAGAATCGATCATTTGTGAATGATTTAGGGGTCGTTTGGATGAGGAATTTTAACGGAATAATTTGACATAATTGTCTCGTTTTGAGACAATTGTACCAAATTGCCTCGTTTGCCAACAAAATTTTTGGATGGATCAATTTACCTGAGGTAATTCGAATTGATCCGTTTTGAGTCAATTGTACCAAATTGCCTCGTTTGCCAGCAAAAATTTTGGATGGATCAATCTGCCTGAGGTATTTTGAATTGATCCATTTTGAGTCAATTTCAATTACCTGGGGTGGGGGCAGGTAATTCGAATTAACTTGTTTTAATTGTCTCGTTTATAAAACGAGACAATTGATCAAATTGACTCATTTCTAGATTGATCCATCCAAACGACCCATTAAAAAACAAACGCATGATAAAAGAGAAGTTGAATGTTCTTGGACCCCACAACATAAAAGGATTGAACTCTCAACTCTTATTTTTTTCGTTTTTCCCCTCCTGATACCAGTGGACGAACTACAAAGCTGGGAGGGAGAGAGAATGTAGGAAGGAAAAGCACTAGAAATTAGTCAATCTAGAAAACCATTTACTGCTCTGGTAAATTTTTTCGCCAGTGTTCAGATTTGTTGTGAACGAAGGCTTGAATTGGAGGGTTCTTTGCTGAGAAACTCTGTTAAGAGTTCGAGGGGCTCTTTCGCTTCTCCATAGGCTAATATATGTAGGAAGAAGACATTAGGAAAATGAGCCAAACGAAACCCACAACATCCAAATGAGAAGGGCTCTTTTAGAGAGAGACGAGATTTCTTTCGAGAATCAAACCAGCTGGTTCCAGTACTGAATGCCAACTTGGTGATTCAAGATGGGCGTTCTGCCTAGCATGATTCAACTTAGCTCATTAGTTCATCTTGGGGACAGATGTACGTAGTAACTGCGACTGATAATTGTTGAATTTTGAGTAAGAATAATCGGACTAAATTTTCTATAGTTACAGGCAGTTTAAGCACTCCATCAAAATAAAATCAGAACAAACTACCATATCCAACTACTAACTGTTATGAATTGACCTTGATTCTTCTAGCTAGTCATACAACATGATAAACCCAGTTGCCATCCAACCATCATCCATCTCGGGGCCAGGTAAGGTCACCGAAACGGTACGATTTCCGTAATCATAAACGCACAACCCTCTGTCGTTGTTTGCTATGAAGTAAACAGAGTTACTTTGTAGCCCGGACTTGCTCGCGCAGCACGAGTAACACCCCCTTTCGCTCCAGAGAAATGCACGGTCTCCCAAGTGCTCCAGCATCCTCCATTCCATCGCCTCAAAATCCATCTTGAACACTTTCATGTCGATAACAGTAGTTCTATCCTCTACAGAGAGGCATTCACCAGCATGATAACGAACAATATGCAGCAGTTCACCGCATGATTCCACCAATCGCTGACTGTAGCCAACAAATCCAGGACTGAGAAATCGCGGACCCTTAACCTGTGTGTTCTCCACTACAATTCCCCCCTTTCTTAATTCGACCACGGCGAGATCATCATCATAACCCTGGTAGCCATAAATCTGACCCTGGTGGACAACGAGTTGGACTTCACACCGCAATGCATCCACTCCTAGCTCGCTTGGCCTTGTATGCACAGTCCATTTTTCATCACCGTCCCTCCAAACCATTGCAACATCATTACCCTTACCCTGCACTTGTCCATCTTCGTCATCAATCCTACCAAAAACCATCACGGCCAATTCCGAGTTGCCAGGAGGCACATGAACCACAGCAGATTCGCAGGTGAAAGAGGTTTCCCATGTCGGTAGTGGGATTTCAGTCATGGATGAGGGATACAACAAGGAGCAAAACCGAGCCTCGGTGTCCACCAACACCAGCAAGCCATGGTCAAGCTGGCTGGAAAACACAATCTTCGAACGTAATCTCAGTGCTAGTTGTGCCATGCTTCTTGAACGGTCGACCATCATCCCTTTGGCCAAATTGATCAGCACCACCTCTCCATTATTGTCTCGGCTACCCAAACCAAGACATGGTCGGCCGGTTGGTGCCTCTAAATGCGGCAAAATCGAATAGCTCTCACTCGGCGGCTGTACGAAACTCAAGTCTCTTATGATCATACGGGATTTTGGACCTACGTTTCGGTCTATTGGTCGTCGTTGCTTGAGTTTCCGCGACCAATCCATCTTTGCTCCGCGAGGGAAAGGGGAATGCGGAGGAGTCATCCAGGCGTGAACCAACGGGAGCATCGTGTCGTATAAGTCGACCGACGTATAATCATCATCATGCAAGGAGTGAAACTGTCGCGTCGAGAGTGAATAGAAGACATGACTTCGTTCGTGAAACCTCGAAAAGTGAAGAGTGTTTTCCAGTCCTTGGAGGCATGCCTCGTCGCATTTCTTGGCCACGCATCCGACGGGGCTCAGCAGAATCATATGATCACCGAGATCGTGGACAATCTGCCATACTCGAGCAGGCTCGTAAAATTTGAGGATTCTCACGAACTTTCCCACTGGACCGACCACGACAGCGACCAACTCTCCATTGCAGTCCACTAGATAAGCTTCATTTTCTGGGTTGTCTAGAAACAAGTCAACCGCTGATGTATCGAATACCCTCCACACCTTGCCTTTATTTTTCGCCTTGTGATTGAAAACCCCCAACTTTCCATCGTCGGCCAAGCAATAGAATGCTCCTTTGTGGAAAAGTGGGGAAGAGTTGTAACGAGGCCAGAAGAAATTTCCCCTGCATCGAAACTTGGCCAGATTCATTCTGCAGAACTCGGATGTAATTTTGATGCTATTGGCATGGTAGGCTCTTAATTTCTTAAGGGAGTAGTTCTTCAATCTCATCATGTTCGGGACGTTTTCATCGTGATTCCAATAACTTTGTCCTCGCTGGATAAAGACGATCCTCGTTCGTTTCTCAGACCCGATATCCACTTGACCAATAACCACGCAGTCAGGGGATGTAGGTGGAGCCGAAAAACTCATCCGATTAAAGCTACCCCATACATTTCGGTGATAATAGGGCAAGTGAATGATGTCACCCGTGGAGGGATGGTAAAAGAAAATGCGGCATACACCGGAGAAAAGCAGCCATCCATAACCGGAGCACGAAATACATGCATTGGAAACTTCATCCGGTGCGCGCAGATGATACGTTTTGTTGTAGGCAGGGGAGTAGGCGCGACAACAATTGAACGGAGCGGACGAATTAGTTTCCATGGTCTTGGAATAATGCAACAGGAAAGGATACTTAACATCCTTGTGGACGCCATCGTCGAACTCAGCAGTGGATTCCCAGTCGCTCATCTTCTCGCTTTATCCCGGCCGATGTTTTCCCTGACGACTGTCTTCTCTGTTTGCATAGAATGAATGAGCTTATTTATAGCGAGAAATAATTTGGCGGTGGGACGGAAACCATTTTAGTTAGAGAAAAGGAAAAGGGTTTAAATGGGCCAAGCTCCTTTTTCCTTCTACGTAGTACGTAGCGGAAAGGGAAACGGCTCCATAATCAACAATGAAGGCTTCCCGACCTCATCGTTGAATTCTGGGTTCTTTGATTACCGTAGACGCTTAAGTCCTGCGGCCGATCTTCGTCGGGCTGAGCAACCTCGGCATCAAGAGGCGCTGCAGGGGCAACAGCCTCAAGAGGTTGAATTCACCATCAAATTGCTTCAGCAAGCAGCCATGAAAGTGAGTTTTTTTAGGGATTCTTATATGCTTATATGTTCATTTTTTTTAGATCTTCAATGGTTCCAAATGTTATTTTCGTCTCACCAAGAGGTTTTTGAACGCGGATACCTAGTCAGTCTTGTACCCATGTTTCCCTTCTGTTGGTTGATGAGGCTTATTGCATTTTCTGATTCTGTTGTTCATCTCCGCAAGTTTATAAAACGAGAGCATTGGTTTGCCATTGTTGAATTCTCATATTATACAGGTTAATGTGTCAGGAGGGTCAGAACTTCAATAACAGCAACCACCACTACCACTACCTTGAACGCTGTAATGTATGCTTTAGATATCCCTTCAACTAATCTCATTCAGGAAGAGCAGCTGAGGAACAATCTACAGTTGTCTATATCTTTTAGTAGAAACAGGCAAGTGTCTTGACAAGTTCGTTCACCTTTAATTTTTTAATGTCTCAGTTGGTGCGATTCATTTCAAGTTCTTTAACTTCATATTTCAAAATGTTGCCTGTGCTGCTTTGCAGAATGAAAGAACTAGTGATGTTGATCAGGTCTTCCACGTTCAAGGAAGCCCAGAGCATACTATGTACTGTATATTTCAGGTGTGTAAATCGGTGTTGGTTCTTGCTTTTAGGAATTGGGATTCTTTTCCAATGCTTAATTGCATCATGATTTTGACAACATTGTTGTAGGCTGAAGCTGATAACATAAGCAGATACTTGTGTGATATCATAACAGTACATGAACTAGATGCTACTGGATTGACACAGGGAATTGGACTTACTGATAGGGAATGGAAACTGTCCTACTGCCATCTATTTTCTTATGACGTCACCTATTTCAATCTTAGAAGTCTCATGCACAGGTTGGCTTAGATTTCCTACATGTATTTCATCAATGGGAATCTACCGTTCAAATAGTGGGGATGTTTATATGGATATTGTGTTTCAGTGATGGAGTAGATGGGTATGCAGTAAAGAAGTCTATCTCCCAACTCCCAAGTCTTTAACAGTGAAACTAGCTCACTTGAGTATGCCTGTACATCATTGTTATTTTTGTTTAATGCAGGTGTGGAGTGTGGACTTCATTCAAGACCATCAAGGTCAATGAGAGAACATTGAGGCTTGTGACGTGGGATACAGGTAACTGGGATTTCTACTTATTCATAAACCTAACTTGCAACTTCAAATGTAATTGTGTGAAGGTACTATCTCTGTCATTTTTGGGGGTTCATTTTCCTTTCTGTCTTTCTTTGTACTAGGTGTTTCCATTAGTTACTTTCTTCTGCGTATTTGCTTGCTGTATAATTTAACTTCTATGCTCGTCATAGAGCAGTTCAGACATTGGTGTTTAAGAGAAGAAAAATGGAGCAGATTTTAGTTCTTCCGACGGATTTAGATTGTTAAAGCATGTTCTGTAACTCAAGGGCAATTACTGATGCTGCTTTCGATTTTTTCGTTACTTAGTTGGGGTCTGTTATTTGATATGAACGTTTATGTTACTTCCTTTGTGTCCTGAATTTCTATGGTTCCCTATATCAGCCGTAAACCTTGAGCTAAAGGTCCTACTCCTTAATTGCACATCCTAGCTTTCTGCTGTCAAGTTGCCCAATTCTTACTACGTACTGTTCTTATTGGTGCTTTCGATTCAACTTTCCTTACCCAACCTGGTATTGTTGATGATTGTCTGTTCAGTAGATTCTGAAGTATGATCTTATTTGGGTTAGGTGGATAGTTGCTCAACTGTAACATCATACTCAGAGCCAGATTAGTAGCAGTGCAGTACGAGTTATATTCCATCTAACCGTCAGCTTAATCTGCAATCTGTCATTCCTTACAGCATGTTCCTAGAATTAATGGAGAAATTCCTTCATGCAATGAAGTAATCAGACCATGAAAGGCTTCTGATCTCTGAATGAGTACGACTGTAATGTTGGATGCGAGGAAACGGTTATGATGATCTGAATTCTGAAATTGATTTATTTGCTCGTTCTTTAACTAGATCCTCCCTTCCGAGAGGAATTTTACAATGCTATATAGCATTGGTGCTATAAGTTTTTACCTTTATGGTATAACTTGAAATTGTACCTTTAATTTTATGGTACAACTTCAGATTGTACCTATACTTTTTGTACAAATTCTTTTATGGTACAACTTAAACTTGTACCTTATGTGATGCTACAACTTCATATTGTACCTATACTTTTTGTAAAGTTGTACCATAAAGACATAATGATACAAATTCCTTTATGGTACAACCTAAACTTATACATTTAATGTTATGGTACAACTTCAAGTTGTACATTAAAGCACTAATACTATATAACATAGTAGAAGTGCTCCCCTCCAGATAACAAGATCAATATTTTAGACATAGTGAAGGCATAGGACATGGTGAAGGTGATAATAAATTGGCTTACTAGGATGGGAACAAGATGATAAGACAAAGAGTTAAACTTCTTCAACATATCTAGCAAGCAAGAGCTACGTTGCTACAAGCTCTGCTAGCGTATCGAATCAGCCAAAAGCGCCTCCCTTACAACAACAAGCTTCCTTAGGACATCCGCAATGTTTGGTCGTTGGTTTGCTGATCCCATCGAACAAGCCACTCCAGTTTCAAGCACTGAAATAACACACTTCTTTTCTGTTTCCGTCAACACATTCTCCTCACTGCCACTGCTATTGTTGTCGCTGGTTTCTACTATTTCCTCTATCCCATTCATGCCACCTTCCTCCTGAGCTGTTACCGGAACTGCACCTGTTTCTTCACGAACAAGCAACGGGTCCAGTACGGAGAAGACGCCCTCTGGCAGTGCTCTTTTCACAAAGTTGTGAAGATTCAAGCCGTCCTTGAACATTTCATTGGTTGGTCTTTTCCCAGAGAACATCTCCAGCACAAGGATGCCATAGCTGTACACATCGCCTTGTTTTGATATCGCCAATTCCATCCCATACTCTGCCGGTGTGTAAAGTTTGAGTGGTGCATTCTATAAGCTAGAAGATAGTTTAAATTAACATTTTTACCTGGAGGAGCATAACCGATTGTTCCTTTGAAGCCAATGGTGGTGCTGCCACTTTTGCTTCGCGACAAGCCGGAGTTGTTGTTTGAAAGAAGCTTTGCAAGACCAAAATCACTCACATGTCCTACCATGTCGTCGTCAAGAAGGACGTTGCTGGGTTTCAAGTCACAGTGAATGATTGGGGTTTCGGTTAGATCATGGAGATAATGTAGAGCTGTGCTACATCGATTGCAATGTTCAGTCTCTGGCTGAGACTCAACGATGTGGCGACGTGATATTGATGACTCCCGCTGTTGTTGTCGACATTCTTATGCAGCCACCTTTCCAAGCTCCCGTTCGGCATGAACTCAAAAACTAGAGCTTTGAATTCATGGCCTTTATAGTCCAGGCTGCTGCAGTAGGTTAGAACACTGACCAGATTCCGGTGTTGGACATTTCTCAGCACGTTGCATTCTGCTAATAAGCTTTTCGAAACTCCCTTCTGTTGGAGATTTAGGACTTTAACGGCTATTTTTCTTCCCAGCTCATCCAAAATTCCCTTATAAACAAAACCAAAGCTGCCTGATCCAACCAAATTTTCAGATGAGAACCCTTCAGTTGCCTTGTAGAGGTCCTGGTAGGAAACTTTCAGTAGATGCTTGAGTGTGTCAGATACGGTAGTGGGCTTGTTCTTGCTCTTTGATCTTCGCATCATGTATAATATCAGAATCCCTGAGGCAGAAAGTAGTACCGCCAGTACACAAACTATGATGACGGTTAGCTTCAACTTGTAAGAGATTTTCCCCTTGTTTGTTTTAGCTTTGCTGCAATTTGGCAGATGGAATTCAGGAATGCCACCACAGAGCTTGTTGCTGGCTGAAAATGATACAGCGCTAGCATTTGCGAATACCCCTTGAGTTGGGACCTCACCTTCCAGTGGATTGAAGGAGATGTTGAAGTATTGCAGGAAAGGAATAGCCTGTAGACTTGGTGGAATTCCTCCTGTCAAGTTGTTCCGTGAAAGGTCCAGTCTTTGTAGGCCTTTCAAAGATGCCAAAGTTGGAGGAATGTTTCCTTGGAAAGAATTACCTTGCAAGTACAGAAACTCCAGGCTCCTGCAATCCCCAATGGCCCTTGGGATTTCTCCAGTCAGATTGTTATCCGAGATTCTGATAGTGCCTAGGCCTCTCAGCTGTCCAACATCCGAGTGTAGGGGACCACTTAACAAGTTTCCTGACAGATCCAGAATCTTCGACAACGAAGACATTCTCAAGATCTCCGGGGCAATATTCCCGGAGAGGCGATTTTGGGAAGCATCAAAGGAATTCAATCTTGTAATGCTGGTAATAGAGGAAGGAATGGTGCCCGTAAGGTTGTTGTATGAAATGTTTAGTTCAAAAAGTTGAGTGAGGTTACCTATGGAGGACGGAATAGTTCCTGATAGTTCATTTCTACCCAGGTACAATATTTGCAGATTCGGAAACATCCCCAGATTGGATGGAATTTCACCTGTGAACAGGTTATTTGACAAATCCAGGGCACTTAAGCTGACAAGATTCTCCAATCCTTGAGGAATCAAACCAGTGATATGATTGTCTCCTGCATAAAACTGGTTAAGTTTGGCAGACAAATTGGCAGCTGATTCTGGGAAAGAGCCACCGAAATTGTTCTTTTGGACATACAACTTCACCAGGTTACTGCAATTGGCTAGAGGTGTTAAGAACTCCAGGTCATTTGCTGAATTGTTCCCCAAGTTATTCCCTTGCACATCCAGGGCCCATAGAGCCTGTGATCTTGCAAGATTGGGGACACTCCCAACAAAATTGTTGTAAGAAAATGAAACTGCATAGAGTTGGGAGGCATTGGAGAGTGAACTCGGGATGGGTCCGGAAAAGTTGTTCCCAGAATTGGCAAAGACTTGTAGATTTGGGAGGGTGGAGCCGAAGCTACCAGGCAGACTCCCATAAAGGCGGTTGTAAGAAATGGTCATGATGGTGATGGCTGAAAGATTGAGAAACGATGGAGGGAGAATACCAGATAGCAGGTTATATGTCAAGCCAACGATGGACAGTCTGTTTGATCTGCCAAGTTCACATGGAATGTTCCCCTCCAAGTTATTGAACCTGGCTGCAAAGTAGTTTAGAAAAGAAAGATTCCCCATGGAAGCAGGAATCTCGCCTGTGATATTGTTGCTATTGATCCTGAACACCTCAAGCTGCATCAACGAATCGATATCGACTGGGATTTTGCCCGCAATGTTGTTGGTGGAGAGGTTCAATGCCCTGAGCTGAGTGCAGTTGGTCAGGCTTCTTGGAATCCCACCTGTGATTGTGTTGTTAGCAAAGTTAAGCTCTTGGAGTCTGAACAAGTTGCCGATGGTTGCTGGAATTTCTCCAGAAAGAGAGTTGTTCTCCAGGTTGATGGACACAAGGAAGCTGAGATTGCCAATGTATGGTGAGAGATGTCCAACCAACTTTCGCCCGGTCAGGAACAGAGATGTAACTCTCTGATGTCGCCGGCTGCATGTGACTCCAAGCCAGTTGCAGACATGGATGGAGCGATTCCACGACTCGAAAACTCCATACGGGTCCATGGCCATGGCTTCCCTGAACTTGAGCAAGGCGATTCGATCGGTGTCATTGCTTGAAGCATTGGCCTTGTGGAGGTGGTGGTTTAGCCATGGGAGGGCCAGAGTGAGCAGGAAAACCAACTTAAGTAGAAACTTGGCTGTGTTCCTCATCGCGAAAGACGACGCTGCTGCTGCTCCCTGATTGATATCTGAGCAACTTGGTAGGCGGAGGCTTGTACATGAATTAGCAAAAACGGTCCATTTGTAAGTGCAGACACCGCACAAGATCTTGTTTGTTACGTTTCAACTTGTTTGTTCCACATCAGATTAGTCACTTTCAAGAAGATGAGTGCCAGCAGTTTGAAAATGTGAATCATACTACGAACTTAAAAGTCCTGCGATGAATTAGTCTGGGTCTGGGATGTTGTTTTCAGGATTGCTTAATCAATGATCTGCGAGTCAGCTTAGTGCGTGGACTACTGAGCATAGTACCCTCCACTTATTTTCCATCCTATGAGATATTTACATGAAAACTCACTAATGTTCACAATTCATCAACCCATTTTCTTCACTCCATCTGATCAATCCCATTAATAACGTACATAATGCTTTTAGTCACTTCATAATTCGTGATTGATGGAAGCAAATATTTTCCCTCTATTATATAATAATAATAATACTAATAATAATAATAATAAAAGATGCACCATTTTTTCTACCACACAATGAGATATATACCTATTCTGTTGTATGAATGTACATATCAGGTTGCTAAAGGTCACATAGCCTATCGGTGAAACCCTCGTGGTCGCTCATTCTGAGAAGGGGTTGATCCCATGTTCAACACCCCTCGAGACCCGTCGTGGTGTTCCAGGAGGCATCTTTGGTTGCTGAGCGAAGCCCCATTGGCACGAAAATGTTGCAGATGGCTCCCGAGTTTGATCTCGCTCTGCCTAAAAAAAATGTACATATCACGTTGTGTGGATATTTTGCACTCGGTTCATCTCAACATTAAAATCCAACCTTGAAAAAGATATCTAATAATTCTGAATATATTAAATTCGACTAATAAGATTATTTTTTATCGGGTATATAGGGACATAGGGGAAGTATAACCTTTTGGCGGTGTTATGTTGCACCACTAAAATTTTGTAAGGAAAATATTTGTACTTTCAATTAGCGAAGTTGTGGTGCATCCCCCAATGACGCCGGTTTCTTGAGATTGAGGACGACATTTTTGCCGAACTTTGTGTTGAATTTTCCAGCACATTCTTCATCTATAAAGAAAGAGATTCGTTGAACCGGAAGCCTTACGCTCGTTTCCGTTTGGAAGGCTCACCTCGACGTTTGAGTTTTGATGAGCTTACACATGCTATGGGGGTTGATGAGAACTCAGGGGCTATTCTAGAAGTAGATTCCATCCAAAGCTTTAACTCCCGAGCGGCTTTCCCGAAGTTCTGTCTCCCAGAGAACCGGCGAACCCGGTTTGATCCTGCACATACAAGGCGACCACCCTCAAGCCCCAATGGCGTATTATCAAGTCGGCAAACAAGATCACTAAGAGAGCTCTTTTCACTTTCACTTCCATGGCAGACTCAAGTCAGTACCTCCACCTTGGGTCCGTCTTGGCCACTTCCTTTGCCAAATCCACGAGTAACCGGCGGAACAATACCATGCATCTGGGACCCTACATCACTAGGATTCCTCGGCATTTCGTTGTCCATCTCGAGTGCGGCACGAAAAAAGGGCGTACTTCGAGGTTCAAGGAGGAGGCTTTGGATTCCATGAATTTGCTCCAAGTCTTTGGACCCTATCGATACATTGATGATCTCTTCATTCCACCAGAGCTGCCTCCTTCACTAGCTACCCAGCCATGCCAGCGCCGCTGTCGACATCCTAAACCACCACCACCATCATCGACTAGAGTCGGTCCGTCATCCTCCATAGTCCACCTCTAGGATCGAGTTGCTCGCCTCGAGGAGCAGTACACATGGGTTTCTACCTAAGTGGCTCATTCCAACTCCTTGCTGGAGCGGATGGCCCTACGTCAGGGCATCGAGATCGAGGAAGACGAGGACTCATCTACATCCCGAGAGAGGTAGTCGACGAGTGAGACATATGACAGAGCCAGTTTCTTTCACCCCACTTTTTCACTTGGAACTCTAAACTTTGTTATTTTAATTTCTTTTTATTTTGTGTGAACAAGTACTATTGTGAGTTTTCTTTTTTTAATTGTGATGTAATGTTGTTATGAGTAATAACCTCGCATTGTGCAAGAAGTTTCTTGTGTTTGCTTGTGTTTACTTCTCCTTTTTGAAGCTCCAAATCTCCTACCTCGATCTATGTCCAACTTTTACTTGCCATTATTTGGTAACTTCTTCACCCTACGCTTATTCTCCATTGCAAACAATGTCATGCTTAAGTGTGTGGGGGTGTATCATTTGTGATTGGCATGTGAATGTGTGTGAATGCTTCATTAATGTGGTCGGTTTGTCGATAATCTAGTGTTTACTGGTATCGACTTTTGATTGCTTACTTGTGATCGAGTGCATCCTATTATGATGATTGAGAATTGCATTAGGTTGGTGCAAATGTTTAGTGCTCATATGTGTGCAAATAGATGGCTGCCTTCACTTGAGTACTCATTGATTGCAATTGCCATGTATCAAAATTTTTGAAATTGGAATGGTTGATTGAGCGGCTAAGTAGCCATTTGAGATTTGTGCCAATCATCTTTTTCTTGTGTGGTAGATCCCTCTTACCATGGCGTGTAGCATTCACGTTGTCACTAGTGAGTAGAATGGAGACATAGGAATAGTCCACTCCCCAAAAGTTGATTGTCCCGATTGTTATATCCCCTAGTCAACCCTTTCGAGCCGTGTGACTTAAGGTCGTTCTCATGTTAGGAGCTTAGTAGTAGGTGATAAAAATTATGCTTTCTCTTTTCTTAATTACACAGGCTTTAGTAGTTATCATTCATGTTGTTCTTTATTGTTAAAACCGGGCTATGACCTATGGTTATGGTATGTAATTTTTGACATAGGTTGTAATTAAAATCCTACTTCTTAACTGATATAAAATATTAAACATTTTTACATAATTTGTAAAACTATAGTTCATATTTGCACAAAAAACCATATTTCATATATTTAGTACTGTACGGGCGACTCTACAAGACCGCACTAGACCAAACCGATCGATGACACCAAATTGAGTATAATGTGGTCTAGCATTTGGTCATGTATTTATAATTGTTGAAGATAAATGGATTGGATTGACATTTGGACTGGACCAAATGAGTAATTTACGACACGTATAACATTTTTTTAGTAAGTGGTTTGTGCGTAATTTAAAATATTATTATTGATAGTTAATTAATGATACAATTAGATATATAGCTCCAATAATAGGTTGATAATTTTTTTTAAATCGTCTACTTTTGATTTTTAATAGTAAACAAAATTAGCAAAAAACAAAATTAGCAAAAAAACAAAAAAACAATTTAATTCATAAGCAATGAAAATAATATCAACATATAATCAAACTTTTTTACTATTATATACCCAATAAAATAACATGTCTATCATTGTTAATTAACGTGCAACTTACATACATTTTATAATCTTAATGGAAGCCATGGCCGCCCTACCAACAAGCTAGCTCCGTCTATTCTGCCCTGCAATGATCTTACATTCCATAGTTGGAAATTGCATTCGTCCCAAATGACCCGCAAAGCCACCGATCTTTACTTTCCTTCTCTCTGAGATTGCAAACCATCTTCACATGTATGCTCTGCATATGTTTTTTTTTTTTTGCCAATTCATACGAATTGCATTACTACTACAACTAAGGGCGAGGAAGAAATTAAATTGAAATTCTGACTTCACATAAAGTCAATTACTAAAAATTAAAAAAACTATTATAATATCAGAAAACTGCCATTAAAAAACGAAATCAGATAACTATTATAATATCGAATGTTTGAAAGATACCCTTACTTACGCCGCTTAGGTGTACCAAAGCGATAAGCAACACCAAAATGCCTAGCCTACCAACACCTCGACTCGTTTAAGCAATGACTAGGATAGCAACTTAGCAAGGTGTTAGACAATTAACCCATCACATGTCTTACATTTAGCGGTTTCTTGAACCTTGGTAATGTCATTGAACTACATGCTTGTTGGTATAAAACAATCAAAATATAATATCAATTGAAGTTCATAAATAACTTGGGACTAGAGAGGTTTTTGCTTTTCTTCTGGTTGTGTTCCTTTAAGTTTGTGAGAGTTATGTTCCAAAAGTATTGCCGACAGACAGGTAAAAGACTTGAAGGAGGCAGACCCACCGGCCGCTAGATCTCATCGTAATGCCGGTCCAAATTGGGCAGCTGACTCCAGGAAGTGGCCGAAAATGAGCCAAATGAGTCGTTGACTTCACCCAAAGTGGTTCCTTGACTTCAAGAAGTTGCTGAAGATGACCGGGATGCTAAAGAGACTAGCGATTTTTGCCATCATTAGGTGTGTTTTTTTAGCTTGTTTGGTTTAATGTGATAATTGTTTTAACCGATAGTACTTGGATAATTTGGTTTGGTTAATTTGGATAATTTAGTTTGGTTTGGTTTGGTTAAGTTTTTTGGCTGGTTTGGTTTAGGTTGTTTGATATGGTTTCAGTCTTTCAGACAATGGTAACCAATGAAATCAAACTAACCAATTAAGTAATTAGTCATATATCTAACATATATTATATATGTACACATATTAAATAATTTGCATAACCACTGAAGAGGCAAACACTCCTCCCTTTTAGCCTCGCAATAAATAAAGCTCAATATTGCTCATATACGGTATTTTTTTATTTGTAGAGTGTATACCACAACATATGAACGTCTTATTTAGATAAACCTCATACATTATGGTTGAAAACATGAAAGGAATGTATTTTTCAGCCCATGATAATTGCTAAGAGACTAAGTCAATTCACACAAACACAATAATTCACTAACCTCATACTATTGGCATATATTTTTGCTAGGTTAATACTTCTATTGACGGTAAGATAATTGTTAGTCGCATATATTATGTTATGATTTAACTATAACTATGAGTTAATTGTTATGGTTTATTCCTTACATTAATTGCGAATTGATGCATTAACCAAAATTTTTTATCACTTACATACTGTTTGGTATAAATGAATTTCATAATTTTAAGGAATTCATTTTGAAATGAAATTTTTTTTTTGTTTGGTATTTAAAAAAAGTAATTTCCAATTCTAAATTTTGAATTCTACGAAATTGGAGCTAGTTATAGCAATTTCGAGGAATTGAGATGGAATTTCCAAATGAATTCCACAAGAATTTACTAATTATAAAAAAAATTACATAATTATCCTCATTTATTAACTAAACTAATCCTACATGTATTATTTGACTCCAGTTCATGCAGTATGAGGAACGGCGACAAGGATTTGATTGCAGCGCTAGTAGCATATTCTGGTTATTTGATATTTCTACTTTGATTATATCAATATGTTGAGAAGCCACAACTAGAGTGTAGGGTTCATTGACAAAATATCGAAAGAACTAATGAATAGAATAGAAACACACAAGAACACTTTGATATTCTACGTATGGGACCAAAAGCATTTTTAAGAAGATGGATTTTCAATGAATATTGTTTCTAGCGAAAATTAATAAAGGCGTAGTTGGAAACTTTAATTCAATTCAATTACAAACGTACGCCAAACATGGTTTGGGAATTCAATTCATTTTATTTCTTAAGATTTGAATATTACATACCAAACACAAGAATTTATTTGACTTATCCTATGCCTCCATCTTCTTCACTAGTGACAACATGAATGATACACATCATGGTAAGAGGGATCCATAGCACAAGAAAAAAACGAGCGACACAAATTTCACATTGCTACCTAGATGCTCAATCAATCATTCAAACACCCTAACCTAGATGCATAGGCAATCGCAATCATTGAGAAATCAATCCAAAAGCATCCATTGGTTCGCAAACACGTGAGAACTGGACATTTACACAATCCTAATGTCTATCTCAGTCATCATCATAGGTTGTTCTCAATCAGATAAAGTCATCCATACATCAAAGCTAATAGCCATGATATTCAACCCAAATCAGCAAAGGTGCCACTACAATCCTGCAAATGAAGAAGTTGGTATGCTTGGAGCTCTCAAAATTTTAAAATTTTGGCATACAACTAGGCTCCAAGAACTCAATCACGCCAATCATTCACATGCACAAGCATAAAAGACTACCCTCGTACTTAAACTCGAGATTTCCCTCAATGGCGTAAAATAAGGAGGTAGAGCGATGTTATTGCATAGCTTGGCGAATAAAAGTTGGGACAGAATTTGGCCAGTATGGAGAGGCGAGAGAACTTCACATGGGAACAAACACAAAACACAATACATTCTCTCCCAATGCAAGGTTATTTCACAACACAATATTCAACATCACAATAAAACAAAAAACAAAACTACAAAAGTACGAGTTTCAAACGTAAAAGAGACAACACAGTGTTTAGAGTCAAAGGTGGAGGTAAAGAAAAGATGATGGCACTGCGGTGCCAACATGACACTCAAGTCGTGGTGAATAGACCAGGCGACAAGGTGGGGAGGCCTGCCAAACGTCCTGAACCCGAATGCCTCGATCCTCTGCAAGCGCCTCCAACAAAACATGGGAATGTCTCCTAACATCCTGCTCTCTAATAAACTGGGAAGACACTCTGGCAAACTGCAGCTCGAGGCGAGTCACTCGGTCCTCAAGGATGCCTGAGGATGAGGAAGGTCTGGCTACTGCCGATGATGAAGATGAACCGTGATATACACGGCAGCGAGGAGGTGGTGGCGCTGTCTATGCAGGCTATGGCTCTGGTGCCTCCTCCACCACAAGGTGAAACAAGGTCGTGGGTCAGATGCCATTAATGTACTGAACGCCTCGCTTAACTCAGACCATTCGCATGTTGTGGAGGGTCTCCACTGGGAAGATCTCTGTCTTCCCTACCTTTGTACAGATCGTTGTGTCCACTCAGAAATGTCGGGCTAGGCGATGATGATGGGGCCCAAGTGCATGGTGGAGACTCGGTGCTGGCCCAACATCCTGGTGAGTACCATTCTATCTCGATCGACTCACTACCCTACCATTATGGAATCAACTCACTCGGGATTGACTCGGAACAGTGAAGTGATGGATGGGTTGTGCCCTATTAAACATAGGGTTTCATGGATTGCTAGGAGGTCAATCAAGTCAACTCTCACGAGGATTACTCGGACAACATATGATAGGAGTGACCCAAAGACGCCAATAATGGGCTCTAAGGGGATTTTCTCCCTTCTTGGTCAAAAGCTCAATTGACATGTAGAACTCATGCAATCCATGAAAACCATCGATCAACTAGATAAAATCATCAATCAAACGTAGAATATGTCACATACATCAATTTAAAAATCTAGATCTATGGTTCATCATCCTAATAGAAAGAGGTCTCATTATAAAAAAAAGAGGGCTAGTTCATAGAGAGAGAAGAGATTACAAAAATAGCTCAAGATCTTAATCTTTTCATCTTCTAGGATTGAATCTTTGACTCCAAGATCAACCCTAGCCTGCAATTAAGCTCCAAGATCAATCAAGGTCACTCTCTCTCTCTAAAAACTCCTCTATGGTGTTTTGGGTCTAAACCCTATAGTTAGAACCAAATTCTCCTCCAAAAACCAATTCGCCTTTCTCTCTCCCAGCTGTTGTGCTTTTTATACAACCTGATAGCCAATGTCCCAGTTTGGATGTCACGGTTGTGACATCGGTAGCCCGATGGTGATCTCATCCAAAAATGCAGGTGTTTGTTGTCGTTTTGGTCCAATGTCACGGTCAACTGAAAATTGTCACGGTGTGGTGTGATAATCCATACTGGACCACATAAAGGTGATAAGGACAATGAGAAATGAAGAAAAAGGAAGTATAAATAAAATTAGTGATTGAGGTTGGATGATCTTAGTTTACATTAAAAGTTTTTTATTAATTTTTTGTGGTTAAAATTATAAACCTATGAACCAGTCAAATCAAGGTGGTTCATCTGGTTTCATGTTAAACCCGTTAAAGTGCTATTGTAACTAGTTTAGCGATTTTGATGGCCTGACCATTGTTCTCTTTTAGTTCTTATAACAATGCCTTTACTGACTGCTAGATATTGTCGCTAGTCATAAATGAACGTGGCAATATAGCTAGTCATAAAACAAGTTTGTCAAATTAGTTTATAGAGTTATATTTATATTGGTTTAGCAAGTGACGTGATCGAATTGGAATACAACTAATTTAGATAAATTTAATTCAAGTTTATTTAGCAAGCTCTCTGCCTTAACAACTTCGGATGCGTGTAACAAAATCATCTTCAACAAATGGAAATTATGCACAGTTGAGCCCTGGAATTGAGCTGGTAGGCCAAATTATTTTCGAAACTGCTAGTGGAAGACACACATGACACATCATGCCAGCCAACATTTTTGGCTCATAGGAGTCAACAATGGAACTAAAACAAATCGGTGACTTCTACAAGTCAATATGATGTCCACTGGCTTCTTCGTATGAGTGTAAAAGGCTTATTTTTCAAAATTTTACTAGAACGAAAGTCGGCGATGTGCTGCGAGTCGTAAATTTAGAAATTTGGGATAAGAAAAAAGATAGTTAATCTTATGATAAGTGACCCTATCGATTTACAACGTAATAGTTTTGAACACCATCTGTTATATCATCTCACAATAGAAATGTATTTTCAAATGATACATAATCGTAATAAAATAATAAAGAAAAAAGGTGAAGAGAAATTTGTTTCAAACACCGTCTATTATATCATCTCATCTCACAATAGACATGTGTTTTCAAAAGGTGAAGAGAGTAAGTTATACTGGAAATTCAACATTGTTTTATTTTTCTGGTGCAAGTTCGATGGAAAGCGGATAGAGTTTTGACGAAATTTACACCCGACCCAATCCTCTAATCACAAAAAACGGGTATAACTCTCTCCTGACCAAAACTCATCAACACCAGACAATGCAGTCAAAATCACGCTTTACAGCATAAAAGCTTACGCTTTTACACGTTTAGCTCATCAAAACGCTTCTACGTAGAATCTCACTTTGACTTACAAGTGTAGTCAATATCTACATTCTAAAGCTTAAAAGCTTACGGTTTTACACTTCTAAATCACCAAAACTCTTCTACGTTGAATTACGCATTTAACTGCATTGACACCAGGTTCAACCCACTCTAATCGTGTCGAATTAGGTTGGACACTCATCCATAAAATGATATTATTTTATTTTTTGGCGCGGGTCGTATGGGAAGCGGGCCCAATTTTAAAAAAATGCACACCCAACCCACCAATCACAAAAGTCGGTAAAACTCAGTCCCAACAAAAAAATCGTCACTACCATGTTCAATCCGCTTTGACTAGGTCAATTGTTTTGTTTTTTAGTTGCAAGTCAGTTGGAAAGCGGGTGAGTTTTTAATAAAATTCACACATGTACCAACCCGTCATTTAGAAAAGTCAGTAAAACTCGCTCCCGACTAAAAACTCGTCAACACCAGGTTCCACTAGCTCTCAAACCAAAATTTGTCAACACCGGATTCAACATGTTTTGACCGCGTTGATTGTTTTGTGTTTAGGTGTGTCTCGGATGGAAAATCGATCGAGTTTTTAACAAAATACACACCCGACCCAACCATCAATTACGAAAACAGGTAAAATTCTCTCCTTTACTCTTCAAAATCATATTCAACCCGCTTTGACCGGGCCGATTGTTTTGATTTTTAGGTGTAGGTCAGATGAAAAGCGGACAAAGATTCATGAAACTAGGAAGAAATCACTATTAATACATTCAAAATCCGATTCCACGTAGAAGCATCAAAATGTAAGTTTTAATTTTAACTACACTTGTAAGAGAAAAACACAATTCTATGTAGAATGATTTTAGTATACTAGAAGTGTAAAACCGTATGCTTTATAAAATTTAAAGCCCGATTTGACTGATAATAACCTAAGAAAGCATGATTTTGACTAAAAAATACACATGATTCTTATAAAAAAAATACAGTTGATCGATAATAAAGTAAGAAAGCAAACAAAGTTTAGCAAAATACAAAAGTACAAAAATTATTGGAGAATTTATTGACATACATTTGTATTTATATATATTTTTTTTTGCCAAAAAAATCCCTTGTATTAAAAAGAACACAAAGATACAAAATGTTTAAGGATATGCAACGAGCCAAAAACAGAAATAAAAACGAAGAACATTAACCGAAAATAATGGTAGGGTCTTCTTAGCCATCTTATGGGCTAACCTAATGTTATGCCTGTCGATAAATCGCACTATCATGCTAGAAAAGTCGTTGAACATCTGACAAACCTCCGCGTATAGAACACCGGCCGCCCTATCCCTCGTAGCTCTCTGATTGATCTTGTCTATCACCACCTTTGCGTCACCCTCAAAAGCCATGGCATGGAAGCCCTGCTGGAGACACCTCCGAACCGCGTCCCGGAGAGCAACCATTTTGACAACCTAAGGATCCTGCAAACCCTCAAACACCACTCCCTTAGCAAGGATCACCTCCCCTGTTCCGTCAATTATTACCATACCCACCGCCGAATGGGACCCTGAACAGACTGCACCATCAAAGGAGCAAACTATCCGGTCCTGATTCCTAGTAAAACCACTCACCTGGCTCGGCGTACCCGCAGACAAACGACTCCCAAGAGCACTACCCGATATCTTCATCCATTCCGAAACCTGGTCATCAATTTGCCTAACCAACAACCGAAAGACAAGTTGTTTCCCCTCAAACACCACTCAGTTCCTACTCTTCCATATCCGTCAAAGGACCGCCACCAGCTTGACTATGCGCAAACTTGTAGAATCCCGCTCAATGAATCGCCTAAGGAAGATAGTCAGGTTGTGCAAGGGGAAACCTATTATCTCCTAACGTAAGCCAGCAGCCTCCCAAAGGTTCATCGCGGTCGGGCATGATAAAAAGAGGTGTTCCAACATCTCGTCCTCGGCCCAACAGACAGCGCAATGAGGGACCAAAGAACTTTACGCAGCCGCAACACATCGACCGTAGGGAGAACATAAGATAGGATCTGCCACAGTAAGAACTTCAGTTTAGGTTGGATCGGGAATTGTATTTATACTGTTAGAATATCATTTACTAAATCAAATTATTACACATTACACATGATAATAACATTTTCAAATATTTATGAATACAAATCATATGATCCCATCAATAGAAATCGCTTAAGACTTGTAAGGATGAAAAGTGGTTAGAAATTGTTTGATGATTTAATAGCTAAACTTGCTGATGTGGTACCGAAGCCATATTAAAAACTGTTAAACAATTTCTAAGGTGGAGATAGTCTAAACTTTCAACTCCCATGAGGAACATCAATACAGTATCACTAAATCAACAAAATCGCCCCCATCCATTCAGATTGCATCAGTACAAAAAAATAACTTGATCATTATTTCATATCTATTATATAGAGTGTCACATTGTTAGTGTTGATGTGGCTTGAATCGGACTATCAGTCGCTATGACTGGTAATCGAGGGTCTCGCTGCCCGGTCAGCGAGTGGGGTTCAGGGGCGAATCCCCGGTGGGGGTGCGGGGGCAACGCCCCCATCCCACGGTGTATGGGCTCAATGTTATTTGGGTTCGGGTTCTGGGCCTGGTCTGTAACCGTTTCCTTTGCCAGATTGGATTAGGTTTAGACCCACATGGAGAAGTACTATAAATCGTGTGTCGTGTTTTCGATTCTCGTTTTCGTATTCTTGATTTGTCGATACCGGCGATTTCTCGATCCGTAGCAGCACGTTTATAACAGTTAGAATACACAGATTCATCTTATTGAATATGTGCTGGAATGTTTCCACTAGCATCCTGCTTGAAAATTGAAAATCCAGCTTCGATCTTCGGATTCAAATCCCTCGAGACAAATCAATCCGATTCCCTGTCTTATATTTAAATAGGGAAACCAACATTGCTCTTATATTGCTTGCTGTACAATTGTATTCCTGTCTAAACCAACCAATAGTATATTGTTATACAATGACTAGTTCACAACGGGTATCTGTCCTCAATCCTCATCCGCACCACAAGTCCACAACAAAGTCAAGTCAACTTAAAACATTGCTGCCCCGCCGCCCAAGTAGAAAACAAAGGAAGCAAAAATCACCTACACCTACTACCAAAGGCTTATTCCATTTCCATCTCCAAAACAAACTCCATTACTAATTAGTTCCATCAAAGAAAGCTTTCTTGATTCAGCCATGGCGGAATCACTAATCAAAGTCGAAACCACTTCAACCCACAGAATCAAACCCTCCATCCCAACTCCAAGCCACCTCGAAACCTTCAACCTCTTCCTCCTCGATCAGCTCTCCCCTGTCGCCTATGCCAGCCTCGTCCTCTTCTACACCACCAAATCTCCAATAATCGATCTCAAACCATCTCTCTCGCAAGCTCTAACCCAGTTCTACCCACTCGCAGGAAGAATCAACGACGAATCAGGATCATCAATCCACTGCAACGACCAAGGAGCAATCTTCATCGAATCTCAATCCAATTGCTTCCTCTCTCAAGTCCTCCAAAACCCTGATCCCAATCTGGTCAGAAGGCTAATCCCAGTCGAGACCGAAGCCCATGAAGAAGCCTACAACGGCAGCCCTCTGTTAATCCAGGTAACTTCCTTCGCATGCGACAATGGATTCTCTATTGGGGTATGCCTTTCTCAGAAAGTCGGTGACGCCACAACTCTAGTTAGCTTCATCAGAACCTGGGCTGAACTGGCTTCCGGGAAATTCGATCGGAACTGTCAAAAGTTTCCGCCTCTATCGAATTCAGCTTCCTCAATTTTCCCGCCAAGGAAACTCTCGTTCACTAGAAAACCCTCTGTAAATTTCGAGGAGAAATGCGTGACGAAGAGATTCGTCTTCAATTCGTCGAAGATCGCAGCTTTGAAATGGAAATCCGCGGCGGCGGGGGGTTGGGGTTTTAACAAAACCCCAACCCGGATCGAGTCGGTAACCGGTCTGATCTGGAAATGCGCGATGAACGCCGCCAGATCGAACAGCGACCACCATTCGATTCTCTCAATCCTAGCTCAATCGGCAGACATGAGAACCAGAATTCACCCGCCTTTGCCCGAACCCATGATCGGGAACCTCGCGGGTTACTTCGCCTCGCAGGCGATCGAGACCGACCTCATCGATCTGGGCAGCTTGGTCGGCCGGTTGAGGAAAGGAATAGAAGAATTCGACGAGGACTATTGCGAGTCGTTCGAGGAAGCACGGGTTTTGCTGGAAGGAGGGGATGTGGATTTGTACGTGAGCATCAATTTGTGCGGATTTGAGTTGTATGATGACGGGTTGGATTTCGGGTTCGGGAGACCGGTTTGGGTCACGGTGCCGACCGGGGCGAGTTGCAAGAACTTTGTGGCGATTTGGGACGCGAGGGATGGGGATGGGATTGAGGCGTGGGTGACTTTGAGTGAAGATGATATGGCGTATTTTGAGAAGGATAGGGAGTTGCTTGATTGGGGGGTTTTGAATCCCAGTGTTTTGGGGGATTTCGTGTTTCCAATGTCTTCGCTTTGAGGATTTGGAGTAGCGGAAACTTTTTTTTTTTTTGCTTGTTTGGTTTGTTTTGCTGAGAGGGATTTGTACGTTTGTGTGGATTATGGCTGTGGTGAAAGTGGCAGATTTTATTAGGTCATTTGGACGTTTCTTCTGCTGCCCGGATTCTCGCACACCAGGTGTTTGTTGTTTTGCCCCAACGAAGATGAGAGTCTAGCGTTGGTTTATAATCCCACATCAATGTCAACGAGGTCCTCTGGATGAAGCATTGTTGTGTGGGAATCTTGACATTTTGGAGTATCATAATTTTTATGGGGGTGATTGTTCTTGTCGAAATTTGCCACAAAAAAGAATTGGCAAGCTCATATTTTACCAACTAGTGCAGGTTTATCGACTAATCGCACTAGTCAACTTGTTTTTATACAAATAACCTATATTTTCACACAATTATGACAATTGATCAATTAATTTTGCGGCGCTATTTCTTCATCATATTTTCGTTACGTGATTGTGTTGAATCAAAAACTTTAATTATATAAGAAACCATTTTCTATTATTTTAAAAAGAAAATACAATTTTGTCAATTATTAACCATAACGTTTTTTCTTTTCTCATGATAGACTATTAACATTACATTTATTTGGATAAACACAAGTCACAAAGTGATTACAAATAAGCGAATTTAGTATCTAGTCTTCAAGTTACGAATGTCGGATTAAAATTTTCCACACCTTATATAACTTCGTGTGCCCGATAATTTATGAAGCTATATGATCTTGAAGTCTAAAACCATGAAAACTCTCAGTAGAAATCATTAAAATACTTGTGTTAACCCAAAATAGAAAGCAACATGGATTATTTCTTGTCTAACACCATCCACTTTGGGACTATGATTGTGCCTTTATTTTATATACACAAATGCCCAGGCACTCTTAACAAAAGCAACCCATCAAAGCAGCTAATAACTTCCACTAGTTAAGAAGAGGGAATAACACTAACATATTGAAGCAGAACTTCATCACATTGCAACTTACCCATATCTCCTTCTTCCAAGTGCACCAATGCCTCTATCCCATCACCATGAGCAGAGTCCATGAACACAACCAGATTCTTGAAACTCAAGCTGGGTGTCCCAACCCACAAAGGCTTCCCCCAACCAAAGTCAGCTTCATATCTATCAAACCAGCACAGGCTAGTAAAGCTCAGAAACCCCACCTCACCTCCAATAAACCCCTCACTTTGCTGCTTTAAGAAGTCCAAATGCTCATCACTCCCTTGTCCTTGCAGGCTCTTCACAAAACCCTTGTCAATTCCACTGATTGCATCTCTAATCTCAGCAATCAAACCCCCACCTTCTTCTTCTTCTGCTTCTCCATCGCCCACATTTGGAACTGTGATCGCAACCCGGTAATAGTTCCCGAATGAGTGCTCTGCCAATGCGGGGTCCATCCTCGTCCTAAGGTTCACCGCATGGAGCAACAGCAGCAGACCTCTGTTGCTAGTGGCCGTCATGACACGCCTCCATATGAAGGCAGACAAGGTCTCGATTCGCGATGGGGGTTTCTTGTGCTCCAAGCTTCTGCTCTTTCCATACTTTGCTCTCAAGGCTTCAATTGAAGCTCCCCTGAAGACAAACCTCTTAACCAGGACTTGATGACCACCTTCGGTACTGGTGGTCATGATCCCGGTTTTCGGGTCAAACCCTGACATGTCCCTCGGCGGGAAGAGCTTCGAGGACACGAATTCCGGAGCTTGAACATCGACCTCTCCTTTTGCCATGGCTGCCCAAGCTTTGACGAACGAGATGGTTGATGAAGCATCAGCAAGTTTGTGGGACATGCACAGTCCAAGAGCGATCCCCCCACATTGGAAGACATTGAATTGGACACCTAATGGCACGTCGTGAGGTCCTCCATGGAGCTGGAATGGGACCAAACCGAGGAGCTCATTTGGCTGTGATGATGAGTTTTCGTGAATAACATCTGAGATCTTGCAGCTGACTTGTGCTTCAAGGTAAGGAATGCCCTCGTCGTTGCAGTGCGTGACGAGATTGTCCCTGATTCGCCCTGCTATTGGGTAGTAGTGTGACAGGAGCTTGGATAGGGATTGTTTGAGGAGATTGGATATGGTTGAAGGGTTGTCATATTTGGAGTCCTGATTGAATTGTTTAGGGTAGAAGAGGATCAAAGGGTTGTAGACTGGAGGAGAGATCTGGTCGAGGAATGAGAGGTTGTAGTTGAAGAGACTGTTTGGGGTTGGAGAAGATGGCTTGATAGTCTCCTGGGAGACCACTCTGATGTCTAGCTTCATCTTCTTCTCTCTGTTATTTTTCTCTTTTCTAATGTTAGTATTTTGGTTGATGTCAAAGTACAGTAGTACAGGTAGACTTATATAGTTTTAGGGGTGGGATGGGGATGATCCGGTTCGGTTCAGGATCATATTGGTCTGGTTTAGGTCCGAATCGAAACTAGATTAAAATGAGAATCATAACGAAATGAAATCGAATTTGATTTGATCTATCTGTTGTTTAATTCATTATTCTGTGGACATCTAATGGTGTTGAAATGAAGAATTTTTTAGAGAATTGAAACAGCTAACTATAGTAATGCTATGGTCTGATTTGGCTCAACTCAAACATAGTTGCAATTAATTCCAAGTAATTTGGTCTCGTCCCATTGAAGGGGACAAAAACGATGGTGAAATCTTTGGTCAAGTGAAACAAGAAATGGGCTAGCTAGCAAAAAGGGTTTCTCGAGGTTGCAGGAGGTGACCCCCTGTTCCAAGATTTAGTAATACTATGTGTACAAGTTATGTACCATCACCATGCATATTTCTTTTGAAAAGAGTGTTGAGTTGGTTAAAGTGATTTCATACATTGTGCCTTCGTAGTTAAATTGTGTATTGAGGTATGAGTTACTAGTCATCCTGATGCAAATTATCAAGTTTCAGTTTTTCCAGTGGGCAAGCAAGTTTCCCTCTTACTTAAGTAAGAGTAAGCTCCCATCGAAGGAAATTGAGTATTCATTCTCAGGCGAAGGGGAAGAGTTACTAGTAATCCTGATGCAAATCGAATTACTTAGTGTCGTAAAAAAGATGGGTTATACTATGTAGTAAAGTTTAATTGAGTATAAACCGTCTTCTTGGTTTATGTAAACTAGGGTGTGTTTTATTATGTAATTTGGTTGTAATTATTAACAATTTTGGAATAAGATATAGATTTTTTTTAGTAACTAACTTGATTTTGTTTGAAATGGGTATAAATACTATTACCCAAAAGTTGATCTAATGTGCAGAAAACGGGGAAAATGATTTAGTATATAAGAAAATGGAGATAGAGATTGCATCATATCTCCACTTCATCTCCTCTGGATATGATATCGCAGAGTTCATATAAGTTGTCATATCCAAAATCAATAGCAAATAAAATGATGCATGGAACAAGCTGTTTGTAAATTTTGGTGAAGGATCAGATCAACTTGCATTATTGTTGAATCTGAACTCATGGACAGGAAAGGTACAACTAGGGCTGCAAATGGGCCGAGTCGAGTCGAGTTTTACCCCAGTTTGAGCTCGGCTTCGTTAATAAACGAGTCGAGCTTGAGCTCAGCTCATTATTAACGAGCCGAGTCGAGTCGAGTTCGAGCTAGCTTGTTTATTAAAATCTTAACTTTTATTTTATACTTCATTTTGTTATCATAATACATATGATTTATTTTGTTAGCTAATCTCATATTATACTGTCAGAACAGAAGCGTGCAATCGATAATCCAAACCACACGAACGAACACAAATTTAACGTGGTTCACTAACACAATGTGTGCTAGCTAATCCACGGGCAGGGGGGGGGGAACAAATTTCACTGATTTTGAGGAGAGTACAGGTTACAAACCAAATTCCAAACGGACAAACCAAACAAACTAACCTGACTGACCTTACTACAGACTAGGGTGATGAAGAGTATTTATATAACTCTTCTCCTAATCCCAAACAGAAAACCAAAAACCTTTTCCCAAACATACAAGGAAAAGGTCAAACAAAGCCCAAACACAAACCCAAACAAAATAGGCCCAAAACACAAAACAAACTCAAATCAAATTCAAGTCATATTCTAACAATCTCCACCTTGACTTGAATTCTCTCTCAAATACCAGATGTACCAGACGCAACTAAAGTTGCCAAATGTACCCAACCGCAACCAAAGTTGTCAGATGTACCCAGACGCGATACATATCGCCAGACGTATCCAAATGCGATTGAAACCGCCAAACTCAAACGCAATCAAGATTGCCAGACATATCCAAATGCGATTCATATCGCCAGACCAAACGCGATGCAAATCGCCAAACTCAGATGCAATCAAAATTGTCAGACGTACCAAACTTCTCCAAATCAGTTGTACCAGAATCTCCCCTGCCTCCAAATGCCCCTAAGGGCGGTCAACAAATCAAAACATGCAGCAAGTCCAACCCATGTTGGGACTTGCCATGCAGAAGCAGTTTGGTGTTATTTCCGTCCATAACACCAACATCAAATTTACTACTAACTCCAAACATGCAACTCCAAACTGACTTCTCAATCTTCAAATCCATAACAAACATCCTTGGTGATCGAAAACCATAATCACCACCGAAGGATAACAAACAGAATTATCTCCAAACCCTAACCAACCACCTCACCGCAGCTTGGTGACAACCGTTCACAAACGTTCCTTAAACCAAACTTCAACTCAAAAGCAACCAATAAACCCAAATCTGAAGCTCCACCGCCACAAAGCAAAACTTCAGTCCAGCGACAAATTCCCAAAACCGCAACCAGGCTCTGATGCCACTTGCCAGAACAGAAGCGTGCAATCGATAATCCAAACCACATGAACGAACACAAATTTAACGTGGCTCACTAACACAATGTGTGCTAGCTAATCCACGGGCAGGGGGGAACAAATTTCACTGATTTTGAGGAGAGTACATGTTACAAACCAAATTCCAAACGGACAAACCAAACAAACTAACCTGACTGACCTTACTAGAGAGTAGGGTGATGAAGGGTATTTATATAACTCTTCTCCTAATCCCAAACAGAAAACCAAACACATTTTCCCAAACATACAAGGAAAAGGTCAAACAAAGCCCAAACACAAACCCAAACAAAATAGGCCCAAAACACAAAACAAACTCAAATCAAATTCAAGTCATATTCTAACATATACTTTGTTGGTATCATATATCATTTAGTTAATAAATTTTAACTACTCCAAATCATGTTATTTCATAGTATCAAAGCAATTTACGATGCATAATTTCTGTTTAAAGTAGAAAATGAGATATATTGCTCACAAACTCAACGTGTTAAACTTTATATGTGGTGAGATATATAATTTAACAACCATATGAATTAAAATCATAAGATATAGATTGATTCGTCCATAAGTTGGTAATCGAGTTGGCTCTCTAGCCACATGTCAAGACATATCATGAGCTCTAAACGAGCCAGCTCACGAGTTTAGCTCTACAAGCCACCAAGTCGAGCTAGCTCGCGAGCTTCACGAGCTGAACAAAGGTGAGCTCGTGTTCGGCTCGTTTATTAACGAGTCGAGTTTCGAACGAGATTTTCTCGAGTCGAACGCCGAGCCGCTCGCGAGCAGCTCGGCTCATTTGCAGCCCTAGGTACAACTGCCAAATATGCCATCGATATGTGTTACGGTGATGTGACGTAGGGGATAGCGATTTTAGAGTTTTCTCGTAAAAGGAATAAAACACAAAGAACTCTCAAAGGAAATAACTAAGGAAATAGCAAATAAAGAACAAAAGCTAACTATTGGGTTCCAATCTTCTTATCATTAAACGAACGAAACAAGTACATATTTATAGGCACAAAGCCTCTACGTTTACCTATCTAGATTATGACTCCTAAACCTCTAAGGATATTACCAACAAATAACCAAATACTACTTAAACAAGGAAAACACTAATTAAGACAATAATAATAAAGACCCAATAATACCAAATACGAACTAATAATAAAATACTAAAGATATGCAAGCCCAGTAATTAATGAAATGCTACGATGGCTCGATCTCGTAACATCCCTACTCCCTTAAAAGAACCTTGTCCACAAGGTTCACGGGAAAACCACACCCACTTCAACCGGGATTGATGTAGTAGAAACGTTCCCACGTACTGACACCAGTGAAGTAAGTAGATGCGCACCTCCGCCAACCTCATTTGCGTAGTTTCCAGTTAGGATCAGGGACGGGAACGAATACTACACCAGTAGCTCTAGCTCCCACTTCTTCCTCCCTCCTCTGCGTGGAATCAAATATTCCCTGCATCCATTCATTTATACCAGGTACGTACACTTGGGAGGAGGCTCTTTCCACAAACCAAGCAAAGCAATTATATCCATACCTTGTTGTCCTCAACCCCGCGTTTAACCTGGACTCCCCAACATGCATTCTTTCTTCCTTCCCGTGACCTCCAGCTTGGGCCACGTTAGTGTTCTTAACACACTCCATCATCTCTACGTTGGTAACGCGACTGATGGAATTTTCATGATCAACCTCATACATCATATAACCGGACAAACTTTCCATGGATGGCCCAATGCGACCATGAACCAAGTTCCCGCTTCTCGCGATGTAGAGGTTACCTCCATCTCCCAACTGCCTTTTCCCATATTTCCAATTAACCCGATCAAAATTGGGCAAGGTGAATTGCTTACTGACGTCGGGACATGTTCCTCCCAACCTTCCCTCAACTCCGCTAATGGCGAACGAGGGTGTGGCCTTCGGTCGCTCCACGACAACATGGGTTTGACGCTTCTCTTCATATCGTTGTCTTATGACATGATGTGTTGATACAGGAGCGGTAATAGTCTGTTTCTCTTGGACCACAGCGGCGGCAGCCACCGCTTCATCAGAGGCATCAAGGACGTCCTCTTCCTTAGCTTCTACTGAATTAGCTAGGGCTTGCAACGGTACTAAATTCATTGTGGAAGGCGGTGGGATAGATGGTACGGTTGGGTCGTTGGCGACCGGTGATGATGTACGTATTAGAACTAGCTGAAGCTAGGGTAAGAAGAAGGAAGGAGGCGATGGCACAATTGGAACGCGCAAGGGAAAACGATTCCCTCTGCTTCTCTTTTATATTAGGATCAACTAGGCTTCAAGTTCACGTTACAAAACAGTAGAAATGGAAATGCAGAAAACGGTAATTTAAATGACTGTAAATGTAAAGCCACGTGTTGTGGCGTCATTCGTCTCTGCTTGTTCCACCCAACGGTAAGTAGATGAAATCCACAACGGCGTCGTCTCAATCTTCTACTGCACTGCTGAGTGGAAGGGAACCCAGAAACGTTTCCATTTCTGGGTGGCGTTTCTTCTTCACGAGTTCACTTCTCTGCTGCTTCACTGATCTTCGACTTGCAGCAGAACATCAGCTTCATCTTCTTCAGTTAATACTCCCCCACAAGCTGGCGAGTAAGCATTGTGCACTCCCAGCTTGTCCAACAAATATTTCAATATGTAACGTGTCATACCTTTGGTGAACAAATCTGCTACTTGATCTTCTGTCCTCACATGAAGTAATTTTATCAACCCTGACTTCAATCTCTCTTGTGTAACGTGACAGTCTATCTCAATATGCTTCGTCCTCTCGTGAAAAACTGGATTCTTAGCTATGTGCAATGCAGATTTGTTATCACAGTATAAAGGAATGGGTAAAGGTACCTTAATCCCCATTTCTAACAGCAAGTTTCTCAGCCACTGAACCTCACACACAACCTGAGCCAGAGCTCTGTATTCTGCCTCTGAAGATGATATGGAAACGGTAGTTTGCTTCTTAGTTTTCCAAGTAATGAGGGAAGTCCCCAAGAATGTGCAGTACCCAGTTAAAGACCTTCTGGAGTCTGGGCAACTTGCCCAATCAGCATCACAATAACCAGACAGTTCAAGTTTTGCATCTGCCCTGAACAACAGACCTTGGCCAATGGTTTGTTTCACATACCTGATTACCCTGTGTGCAGCTTGAAGGTGCTCATTGCAGGGTGCTGATTGAAATTGAGCAAGCTGCTGCACTGCATAGGTGATGTCTGGTCTTGTAATAGTGAGATAATGGAGTTTTCCTATAAGACGTCTGTAAACGGTAGGATCAGGTAAAATTTCACCCTGTTCTGCAGTGAATTTCATATTGCAGTCCACTGGTGAAAGGCAGCCCTTAGCTTCAACAAAACCTGACTCCTCTAATAGTTCAAGACAGTACTTCTTCTGACATACTGAAATCCCTTTATGATCCCTCATAACTTCCAAACCAAGGAAATACCCCATTGGACCAAGGTCTTTGACCTTAAACTCCTTACTTAGGAAAGACTTAAGCTGCTGAATATCCCCAAGATAGCTACCAGCTATCAAAATGTCATCCACATAAACCAGAACAACCACTACTCTTCCTTGAACCCATCTCACAAACATTGAGTAATCAGAAGCAGTCTGTGAGTACCCATTCTTCAACAAGGCATTGGTAAGTTTAGAAAACCACTGTCTACTTGCCTGTTTAAGGCCATACATGGATTTCTTGAGTTTGAAAACCATACCTGAATCCTTGGGAACATCCACACCAGGAGGGATCTCCAAGTAAACCTCTTCTTCCAGGTCACCATGCAAGAATGCATTGGACACATCCATCTGGTGGATGTGCCAATCCTTAGCTGCAGCCACTGCTAATAGGGTCTTCACAGAATTGATTTTGGCTACTGGGGAATAAGTATCTAGGAAGTCTATTCCATAGATCTGAGTGTAGCCTTTGGCTACCAATCGAGCTTTGAACCTCTCAATTGCCCCATCTTACCTATATTTCACTTTGAAAACCCACTTAGCACCAATAGGTCTCTTTCCTGCAGGTAACTTAACAACTTCCCAAGTCTGATTCTCATACAGTGCAAAGATCTCTTCTTTGCAGGCTTGTTTCCAACGAGGATCCTTACAAGCCTCTGCATAAGAAGTTGGTTCCTCAATGGATAGAACACTTAGGGCAAAAGCCTTTTGACTAGCAGTAAGATGATCATATGCCACCTGATGTGATATGTGGTGTTTACTTTTAGTAGTGGTGGCCATGTTCACATGATAATCTTTGTGCCAAATAGGAACTGTACGATGTCTATTGGATTTCCTTAAAAACTCAGCCTCATCCGTGTCATTGACATCGGGGAACACTTCTATCTCCATGTCCTCCCCCTCAAACTGCAGGCTGATGGGGGATACATCCAGTGAAGCAGCAGGCAGTGCAGAAGAAAGAGGAGAAGAAGTGGAAGTAGAAGAATGAGTTGGATTTGGACTAGGAATAGAAGTGGAAGAAGCAGGTTTGGTAACAGGAGAATGAGGATTGGTAGGCTGTGTAGAAGAATTAGGAAGAGAAGTGGAAGGATGAATAGGTAGAGCAGATGAAGAATGCTCAGTGACAGGAGGTGTAGGGGTAAATTAAGGTGTCACAGAATCAGGAATAGAGGATGAATTGGATTGAGTAGAGTGGAATGGGAAAATGGACTCATAGAAAGTCACATCCCTGGATACAAAGTAAGAATGGTCATTGAGATCAAAGAGCTTGAAACCTTTAATCCCAGTGGGAAAACCAAGAAAGACACACTGCCTGGCTCTTGAATCAAACTTAGTTCTGTCCCTATGTAGAGTGGAGGCATAGCAAAGAGAACCAAAAACCTTCAGATTGGTAAGAGAAGGTGATTTGTTGTAGAGAAGTTCATATGGGGACTTGTTGTCCAGAACTGGACTGGGTAATCTGTTTATTAGATAGACAGCATGCAGTACACAATCACTCCAAAACCTAAGGGGGATTCCAGATTGGAATCGAAGTGATCTAGCCACATTAAGGATATGCTGATGCTTCCTTTCCACTCTAGCATTCTGCTCAGGAGTTTCTACACAAGACTTCTGGTGAATAATTCCTGTTTCTGTGTAAAATTCTGCTAGATGAAACTCAGAACCCTGATCACTTCTGATGATCTTGACACACTTAGAGAATTGCCTCTCTACCATAGTGCAAAAACTTTGCAACAAATAACCAGCTTCTGATTTATGTTTCATTAAAAACACCCACACAGCTCTAGTGAAATCATCCACAATAGTCAGAAAATAAGCATAAACTTCATGAGACTTAACTGCCAAGGGACCCCAAATGTCTACATGAATCAAAGCAAAAGGTTCAACTGCTCTACTGCTACTAATAGGAAAAGGATGTCTTTTGTGTTTAGCATAATGACAAATAGAACAGTGAGAAACTACAGCCCTATCACTAGGCAATAATTGCTTCTCTTTGTCCTTGCTAGGGTGCCCTAGTCTCCAGTGCCAAAGTTGAATCTGGTGTGGTTGGAAGTTGTATGAAATGGCTGCTTGGGGTGTAGGTAGAATAAGTGCTTTGGCCTTGGTATGTAGCTGATATAATCCATTACTCTGTCTTGCCAAACCAGTCCTTTTCTGGGTCACCAGGTCCTGAATTTGACAAGAATCAGATTCAAAATGTAAGGATAGGGGTTGATCATTTGTCAATTTGCTAACTGAGATAAGGTTAAATGTGAAGCTGGGTACCAGCAGGACATTGTCTAGGCATAGATCAGGGGATAGCTTAACTTTCCCTATGTGACTAACCCTCACTTGAGTCCCATTAGGCAAGTAAACAAACTGATCACTAACTGGAATGTACTCAGAGAACAGACTGAAGTGGCAAGCAATATGATCAGAAGCCCCAGTGTCTAGGATCCAACAATGACTGAGTGCCTCTGACTTATGTTGTAAGTAAGAAGATAAGATAAACTTACCAGCATAAGAGGGAAATTGACCAACATTGTGAGCCACTAAAAAAGCCAAATGGTTGACTGAGGGTGAAGCAGGAGGAGAAGGGCTAGGTGAAGGCACTGTTTGCAGCAGATATTTGAGCTTGTTCAGCTCCTCAACAGAAAAACTCATGCCTTCTTTAGAAGAGATACTTCGAGTATCACTGCTCAACTTAGACTCTGAGCTCCCAGCATCACTCTCATTAGAACTTTCACCTTGAATAACTGCAGCAGCTACTCCACCAGACATCCTCAGCTTCTTATTTTTCAGCCTATAACACTCCTCCTTTGTGTGGCCTTCCTTCTTACAGTACCTACAAAATTTCTTCCCATCTTGAGGTTCTCCTTGAACAGCCAATGCAACAATTTGAACCCCTCTAGTAATGCCCTTGTCAGCCTTTAACTTTTGCTCATGCTGCAAAACATCATTGATTGCTATGTCCACAGTAGGAAGTGGTTTCATCATCAAGATCTGGGTGTGCACTACATCAAACTCAGACCTAAGACCCTTGAGGAATCGAATGAGGTAATAAGTTTCCTGTTGCTGCTTAAATGCCTCAACTGCAGCACAAGGTTGAGTTCTCTGTGGTGCACAATTGCAATCAACAATAGGGCTAAACTGAAGGTTTTCTTCCCATAATCCCTTCAAGGCTGTGTAGTATTGAGTGACATTAAGAGTTCCTTGTTTACAAGCAATAATTTGATCTTGCAAATTAGACAGTTTAATTGCATTTGCAAAGCCAAATCGAGCCTTAAGCTCTTCCCACAAGGTTTGAGCCACTTCATGTTGCATCACACTCCTTCGAATCTCCTTATCAATAGAATTCAGGATCCAACACAGTACAAGAGTATTACAGGCATCCCATGTACTATAAGTTGCATCTCCCACAGCTGGGACAGCAATCGATCCATCGATGAATCCTAATTTGTGCTTCGTTTTCAAAGCCATTCGAACAGCTCTCTGCCACATCTGGTAATTAGCACCATCTAGTGCTTCTGAAACAATCGCTTGAGAAATGTTCTCATTAGGGTTGATATAGAAAGGGTTACCGAAGTGTAGATCTAGACGATCGTTGTTGTTGTTGTTGTTGCTCGTCGTTCCAGAATTCATCCCTGTGAAGCTTCCAAAAGGAATGCTACCAGGAGGTGTGTTTGGTGGTGTCGTCGCCATGGAAGCGTTACTGAATCAGTGACCGCTCTGATACCATATTAGAACTAGCTGAAGCTAGGGTAAGAAGAAGGAAGGAGGCGACGGCACAATTGGAACGCGCAAGGGAAAACGATTCCCTCTTCTTCTCTTTTATATTAGGATCAACTAGGCTTCAAGTTCACGTTACAAAACAGTAGAAATGGAAATGCAGAAAACGGTAATTTAAATGACTGTAAATGTAAAGCCACGTGTTGTGGCGTCATTCGTCTCTGTTTGTTCCACCCAACGGTAAGTAGATGAAATCCACAACGGCGTCGTCTCAATCTTCTACTGCACGACTGAGTGGAAGGGAACCCAGAAACGTTTCCGTTTCTGGGTGGCGTTTCTTCTTCACGAGTTCACTTCTCTGCTGCTTCACTGATCTTCGACTTGCAGCAGAACATCAGCTTCATCTTCTTCAGTTAATAGTACAAGATGGTGTCGGAGCTAGGGCTAGCTCCTTCATAGCTGATTCGACGTCGGGGGAGGCTTGCGATGCTACCCGTGGCGATCACGATTTAATTCGTCCTTTCCTCCTCTTTCTCCGGTAGCCAATCCTCCCCGTGATGAGGCAAACTTTGGCTGTCGTGATTAACAGAATTGCTGCATCGTCGTCGTCGTTATTGATGGTGATGATCACAGGTGAGGGTTTGTTCTTGGCGGTTGATGGACGAACGACCGTGATCGTTCGAGCTAGGGCTAGCTCTCCGGTTGATGGATGAGCGGCCACGGATGTCGCTATCTTTTCGTCTACAACAGCGGCAAGGATGAATGGTGGTGATGGTGGCCGTTCTGCGGCGATCCGGTCCACAAAGGTAGACAGATCCATGACGGGTGATGCTTCTTCGTCGAGCTCAGGTGGCTTGCTTAAACACGGAAGCACGTCGACTGGGCCCTCTTCCTTCTCGTTGATCACGGCTACCTTGGGCACGACGGTTAGTCGCACAACCCGTGACGAGGATGGAGCTAGGGTTAGCTCCTCGGATGTCGAATCAACGGCTGGAGGTGGCGAACCTGGTATGGATGGAACGTCCGAGCATGGATCGAGTAGCGCACGGACTGCTGGATCGAAACCGTCGAGGGTAAATCTCGTCCTGGCGGGCTGCCGGAGTTGCCAGATTACCTGGCCCAGCTGCTCCCGCCAATAGAGATACTCAGATCTCATTAACGGGGCTCTAATACCAACTGTTACCGTGATGTGACATAGGGGGATGGCGATTTTAGGGGTTTCTCGTAAAAGGAATAAAACACAAAGAACTCTCAAAGGAAATAACTAAGGAAAGGAAATAGCAAATAAAGAACAAAAGCTAACTATTGGGTTCCAATCTTCTTATCATTAAATGAACGAAACAGGTACATATTTATAGGCACAAAGCCTCTACCTTTACCTATCTAGATTATGACCCCTAAACCTCTAAGGATATTACCAACAAATAACCAAATACTACTTAAACAAGGAAAACACTAATTAAGACAATAATAATAAAGACCCAATAATACCAAATACGAACTAATAATAAAATACTAAAGATATGCAAGCCCAGTAATTAATGAAATGCTACGATGGCTCGATCTCGTAACAATATGCTATCTCTCCATACTTAACGTGGATCTATGAGGTGAGTTGTGAATTTGTGATGCCTTACACTCTTGAAAAAGTAATTATTGAGGAAGTATTAAACATATTGTTAGAACAGAAACGTGGCAATCGAGAATCCAAATCAACACGAATGAACACAAATTTAACGTGGTTCACTAACACAATGTGTGCTAATCCACGGGCAGGGGGGGACAAATTTCACTAATTTGAGGAGAGTACAGGTTACAAACCAAATTCCAAACGAACAAACCAAACAAACTAACCTGAATGATTTACTACAGATTAGGGTGGTGAAGAGTATTTATAAAACTCTTCTCCTAATCCCAACAGAAAACCAAACACATTTTCCCAAACATACAAGGAAAAGGTCAAAACAAAGCCCAAACACAAACAAAATAAGCTCAAAACACAAAACAAACCAAATCAAATTCAAGTCATATCCTAACAATCTCCACCTTGACTTGAATTCTCTGTCAAATATCAGATGTACCAGATAAAACCAAAGCTTCCAGATGTACCAGATGCAACCAAAGTTTCCAGATGTACCCAACTCCTCCAAATAAGTTGTACCAGAATCTCCCCTGCCTCCAAATGCCCCAAAGGGCGGTCAACAACTCAAACCATTTGGCAAATCCAACTCATGTTAAGACTTGCCATTCGGAACCAACTTGTTGCGCTTATCTCCAACATAACACGTCAAAACAGAACCTTATTATACAAGGCACCACGCCTGACACCTTTCAAAATCACCTTAGAACCTTTGTAGACAGACAACACTCCACCTTCACCTTTGAAACTGAAACCCTTGCTGTCGAGTAGACTCAAAGATATCATATTCTTAGTCATCTCTGGAATATGTCTAACATTGTTCAAGGTGCGAACAGAACCATCTTGTATCCTCATCCTGACGGAGCCTCTTCCAACAATCTTACATATAGCACCATTGGCCATAGAAACACGTCCTCCATCTATCTGCTCATAAGTTGAAAAACACTCCCTGCTTGGACACATATGATAATCAGTTGCAGTATCTAAATACCACACATCCTGATGATGTACCTCTTCATTCACTGCTAAGGCTAAACCATCTTCAGAATCAGAGTTAGTTTCTTCCGCCAAAGCAGCAGATGATTCCTTCTTCTCCTATTATTTCTTTAGCTTAGGACAATCAAATTTCCAATGTCCTTTCTCCTTACAGTAATGGAAAATATCATCCTTCAAACCAACAGAATTCAAATTTATATTCGCCTTCCTATTACCAGATTGTTGTCTCCTACTTCCCGTAGCAGCCAATCCAGAAGTCTGATTTTCCGAACCTGAACCAGACGCTTTATGTCGAACCTCCCTAGTATGTAGAGCAGATCTGACATATTCTAAAGACAAACTATCTTTCCCAGCAATAAAAGAATCCACAAAATTCTCATATGACTGTGGCAAAGATACTAACAGAATTAAGGCAGCATCCTCATCATCTACTTTGACATCAATATTCCGCAGATCTAACAAGATAGTATTGAGTTGATCTAGATGATTCCTGAGAGACGTACCTTCCTCCATACTCAAACTGAACAAACGTTGCTTCATATGCAACTTGTTAGTTAAAGACTTTGTCATGTATAGACTTTCAAGCTTCAACCACAAGCCCGCAACAGTCTTCTCAGCAGCAACCTCAATGATGATGTCATCAGCCAAACAAAGCAAGATTGTAGAGTGAGCTTTCTCCTCCAAAGTAATCCACTCTTCTTCATCTATACTTTCCTTCTTCGATTTTCCAGACAATGGAGCCCACAAACCTTGTTGTTTCAACAGTGCTTGCATCTTGATCTGCCACAAACTGAAACTGTTTCTTCCGGTAAACTTCTCAATTTTCATACTGATAGCAGCCATCCTTAATTTTTTGTAAAAAAAAAAAACCAAATAGCCACTACCCTAACCAAACGTCCCACCAAACAAGCTCAATACTTTGTCGTACTCTTCCAAATTGCAACCCAAAGCAAGACAAACACTAGCTCCACCTTCCGGTTTCCGCGCAAAACTAATGAATTATGATAATAAGCACAATTTCATCCACATAATTGATGTTTCTTCCTCCAGAATTGGCGAACAACAATGTGATTAACAGTCACAATTACCTGACCACAAACCAATATGTCGAGGCCCAATTGCTTCCATGAAAGCCACAAAATCAAACCCTTTTCCGACTCCACAACAACGGCGATGTAACCCAGACAAATTCCACAATGCAACACGATGCTCCAGCGCCAAACGAACATTGTAAGCCGAGACTTGCAACTTCAAATCAATTCTGGCCAATGGATCAAACTGACCAAGGCTCTGATACCACTTGTCAGAACAGAAACGTGGTAATCGAGAATCCAAATCAACACGAACGAACACAAATTTAACGTGGTTCACTAACACAATGTGTGCTAGCTAATCCACGGGCAGGGGGGACAAATTTCACTAATTTGAGGAGAGTAGAGGTTACAAACCAAATTCCAAACGAACAAACCAAACAAACTAACCTGACTGACTTACTACAGATTAGGGTGGTGAAGAGTATTTATAGAACTCTTCTCCTAATCCCAACAGAAAACCAAACACCTTTTCCCAAACACACAAGGAAAAGGTCAAAACAAAGCCCAAACACAAACAAAATAAGCTCAAAATACAAAACAAACTAAATCAAATTCAAGTCATATCCTAACACATATCTACACATTAAAATGGAATTTACATGTGAGGAGGATTTTGGGCTAATAAATTGTTAACCAGAAGCAAATTTGAGGTGTCTTTCAGTAAAAAAAAACCAGTAGAATCAATACCCACGGCGGCTATGCAACGCCGCAGGCACTAAAGTTGCAGAATCATGATTGTACGTTGGCCAGTTAGGTGACGAAATACAATTGCATGTAAGGCTAGAGTTGTAGAAATTTAATCCCGTCGGAAATGGTGTGTACCATAATTCTAGTGGAATCATGATTAAGTGCTGAAATAATTTAGGCAACATTGAATAACAATCTTCTGTTAATCCAATAAATAGTTGAATAATAATCATAGTGTAAGAATTTTGTAGCTAATCCAACTTATTGACATAGTCAGGGGCGGATACACCCCTAAAATTTGGGAAACGATTCTCGGTAGTAGTTTTGTATGGATAAAAAAATTATAATTATTGATTCGGGACACCCCTAGAACGATTATCCTATCCTCAGTAGTAGTTTGCGTATACTTAAAAATAATAAGCGATAGTCTGTGTTATTCAAACTTAGGATATACTATATTTTATAAACATTATCCTCCATTAAGTTGCAACTCATTTGTTGTTCTATTTTAAACACTACATAATAGTAAAAAGTTATTCCTTATCCCCAACTATTTCCAAAAACTAACAATTAAACTAATTACGGGCTACCCTTAATTTGGATTGATTTTATGATTACACAAAAAGTGTTGAAAGAGTCTTTTCAACTTTGAGTTACATAAAGAACAAGGTTAGAAATTCATATGCGATCAGTTCATGAACTATTGTCTAGTAGGATATACATATTTGTTGAGCAATATACCTAGCCTATGTTTTATTCTTGGGTTAATAGCATTTTCTACCCCTGTACTATGGCAATGTAACAAATGTGCCCCTGTACTATTTTTTTTTGCACAAAGATGCCCTTGTACTATTACGTCGTAATGGACCTGCCCTTCTATTGGAATTTTGGTTTACTCGTCGTTAAAGAGAGCTGGAAATACCCAACTACCCCTTTTTAATTCAGTCTTACCCTGTTTGAACCTCTATTACGACAAAATTAAGGGTTACAATTCCCGTAACACACGAAGCGAGGGGAGAATTGTGAAACCCGCCGACCCTGTTCGTCTTCCTCCTTCGAGCAGGGCGACGACCAGTGACTGGCGCTTCTTCCCGTCCGTCGCTTCTTTTCGTCCGGTCGGCACGTGCTTCTTCCCATCCGTCCGACGCTTCTTCCCGTTCATCGCTGTCTGCTGCTTCACGGCGGTTGGTCGTCTTCCCCCCTTACCAGCGAGGACCAGCGACCGACGACCACTCCACCAGTGAGGACCAGCGACCGACGTCTAACCCCAACATTGATTGTTATTGCTGCTTCACTAGGTAAGATTCTCTTCAGCATAATCCCCTTATTTAAACCCCAACTTAAATGAATACGAAAAAAAATAGGAATTGAATATTGGTTATTTTCAGGACCACTTACACAAAATAGAAGGATGGTGGAATTAATAATGAAGGTTCTGCAGCGGCTGTTAACATACCCCTTGCTGAACATGTATGATTTTTATGCTTTCATTCATGGTTGGCCGGGTGTGAATGACGTATCAATGATTTCTTTGATGTGAATTTCTTTCTTTCTTGCAATCGTCCCGGTGGGATTTGCTAGCAACATTCTGAATGAGGCAACAATTGAGGTTGATCAATAAGAGAACGGAGACTCTGACGACGAGTTTGAGCTGAACGCAGATTGGGTCTCGGATGAAGATAGTGCAGATAGGGAAGAGATAATATCGAGGGTGAAAAAGGCAAAAGAAAAACTGAAGAT